TAGTGACCTTGGAGAAGGAAAATGCTCGGCTTAGGGCAAGACAGCAGATTACTGTGTCTCCCTGGTTTCTCAAGAAACACCAGGTGTTAGCCCGAGTCCTGCACATGATTATGGTCAGGACTCGTTGTTTTATCGCAGCCATGGATATATTGAAAGAGAGGTCTCATGATATCGAGCTTCTTACAGATTATATTGCCCAACTGCAAAATCTTCTGCTGGATAATAATATCAACTTTGAGGCTTTCGAGCGTCCGGAGGAAACAGTGGATCCTCAAACTCGGAGTTCTCGAGAGGAGCTGTTGATGAGGGTGCACGCTCAGGACATAGAGATCGTGGACCTTAAGGACAAATTGAATCAGTGTGTGAATCTCCTTAGCCTGCATGGGTATAAGAGGATTATTCATCCCTCCCCCGACAATCCTGTCAGGGAGGTGCTTGTAATAGTGTAGAATGTATGTACTTTTCTGTGAGTTCGCACAGTAGTGTGAAACGAATGTTTATGTTACTCGAGTATTGATTTTTAAAGCGCTTTTTAGGCCGGATGTAGAGTACACGACTCTATCATAGGAATCGGGTACGAATTCCTTGACTTGACACTGCGTTTCGCAATGTGCGTGAGGAAAGTTCCTCGAGTTTGTGTCCAGATGTTGAGTACACGGCTCTTGAACGAGGATGGCCCTAAAGAGGGAGTCCATCTCGATGACTAGTCATGAATGCATTGCTATTAATGAAAACACTATGTAATGTCTTTTATTGAATAATTTCCTGAGGACCTGGGTTAGCATTACATATGAGAGTATAAAACTGACTGGGTAAAAAAAAGTAAGTAAAGCACATAATGGGCAAATAGCGGACAAAGACTTAAGAATAGAACCTGCGAAGATTTTGAATGTTCCACCATCGAGGAAGAATGGTTCCGCTATCATCCATGGCCTGTAGGCGGTAGCAGCCTGTTGGGGAAGTCTGGATAACCTTGTAAGGCCCTTCCCAATTTGCAGTAAGTTTTCCAGGGCTTTCTGCTCGATTGGCCTCGTTTTTCCTTAGTACAAGATCACCCACAGCAAGAACCGTGGCTTTCACCTTCTTGTTGTAATGTCTGCGAAGAGTCTCTTTATATTTGGCCTCTCAGATTCTGATGGCGTCTCGACGTTCCTAGAGCAGGTCGAGGTTTAGCCGGATGTCATCGTCATAGGTACTCTCGACGAATTTTGCGGTTCGAGGACTTGACAGACCGATCTCGACTCGGAGGACGGCGTCGATACCGTAGACTAAGCTATACGGTGTCTCGTCGGTCGAGGAGTGGGCAGTTGTCTGGTATGACCACAGGACGTGAGAAAGCTCATCGGCCCATGCCCCCTTGGTGTCATACAACCTGGTCTTGATTCCATACAGTATTGTTCTGTTGATGGATTCGGCCTGTCCATTGGCTTGGGGATGAGCTGCGCTTGAGAAGCGGCGTTCGATCTGCATTTCATCGCACCAAGACTTGAAAGTATTGCTCTCAAACTGGGTCCCATTATCAGAGACGATAACCTTCGGGACCCCAAAACGACATACTATGTTTTTCCAGAAAAAATCCAAGACTTTCCTCCCTGTGATCGAGGCCAAGAGTTTGGCTTCTACCCATTTAGTAAAGTAATGTACTGCTACAATGACCCATCTTACTCCTCCTACTCCTTCCGGATGAAAGGGGCCGATGATATCAGTGCCCCATTGGTAGAATAGCCAAGGGCTTTGGATGGTGACCATCTCGTGCTGTGGCTGTCGGGTGATGGGAGAGAAGCGATGACACTTCTCACATTTTTGTACCCATTGGTAGGCGTCTTTGAAAATTGTCGGCCAGAAATATCCTGCTCGCAAGACCTTCTTGGCGAGTGCTCTGGCTCCCATATGAGCTCCACATGATCCTTCGTGTACTTCTTCGAGTACGTAAGCTGCTTGCTTTGGGCCAACACACCTTAGCATGGGCAGCAGGTATCCATGCTTGTATAGGATGCCGTCTCGCAATGTGTATTTGACCGCCTTTAACCGGAGGGTTCTCGCTTCTGCTTTTCCACTCGGCAACGTCCCATCTGTAAGGTATTGGATAAAAGGGGTCATCCAAGTGTCGCCGTCCTCGACGATGGTCGCTAGGGGGACGTCCTGGATGCTAGGATTGGGGAGAATTTCGACCCATACTTTGTGGCTAAGGTGTGCAAAGTTCGAGGATGCTAGCTTGCTGAGGGCGTCGGCTCTTTTGTTTTTTGAGTGGACTATGTGGAACACGGTGCATTCCTCGAATTTGTCCTTGATGTCGAGGACCTTCTCGAGGAAGTGCTTGAGTTGCTCGTCGTTTGTCATTTGTCATTTGTCAGTTGTTGTGTATATTTCAAAATATTAATGTATTTTGGTTAGGATTATGTGTGGGTATGTTAATTTTTGTTATGAAATCATGATTGGATTATAGAATTTTCTAACTATATTTTGATTGTAAAATTTTCAAGATAGCTAGTCTATGTTAATGAATCTGAGTAATGATTAAGTTATAATCATTTAAGTAAATAATATGCAGTATATATTTATTTTTTATGGTTCTTCATTAATGAATGGGATATTATAGTTATAAATCATTATATTTATTTGCTTACTTTTATTACTCCAACAAAGGAACATTTTTCCCCCTCTGCGGTTTTCCTATAAGTAAACCATTAGTTAATCGTTTTTTGACTCATCTTCACAAAATACAGAAGGGAATGAGAACTATAGTGTGGCATAAGTCAATGGGGAAAATTGCCGAAGAGAAGAAGCAAAAGCGTGAGGAGCAACCAATTTCATTGTTAACTCCATATCAAATGGGAAGGGTTAAATTATCTCACAGGTAGACTAAGTTTCCCACCAATTTGTTAGTAGTGACTTTTCTTTCTATTCTTTGATATTGCTGAATTAGGATGAGCCCTCTAATTAAGATTCTACTTTGATTTTTTATATTTAATGGTTCTGCCAATTGTTGTAAGTTGTACCCTTTTTTCCAATTAATATTCTTAAAAATTAACCAAAGAATCAGGCTACATTTCAGATTCAAAAGACTATTTTAGAGATTTGTGAGAAAGATGTGAAGACTCGTTGTCCTCCAGTTTCATTATTAATTGATCACAAATTGCCTTTTGTTCTCATCAACTACGCTTTTGTTTTTTTATTTACTAGATGTTAAACCCGTACGATGTGCGGGGTTTATACATATACATTTATTAAAATATATTTTTAAATTTTAAATGTGATTAATACAAATACAATAACTGATTTGTAATAATAAATATATGATTAAAATTAAATTAGATCGTGATAAATAAAATTGTTATATATACTTTGAAATGATAACATTTTATAAATTGTATGCCAAAAATGTAATTAAATAATGGAATATGTATAAGGATTATATACAAATAAAAGTAAAAAAGATCACCAAAATAATAAATCAGATGTTATATGTCATATAAATCAAAGCAATTTATGTCTACACGGTTAAAAACGCATATTAATCAAGATTGTACACAATTGGAGAAAGAGACACCTTACATGTTAAATAAAACATGATCGGAGTGAGGTCATCACCGCAAAGATGTGTCATAAAGTATATAAGATGCTTCGCTTCAGTGTTTCATCGGTTGTCATTGTACATGTTAGAGTTAGACCGAAGTGGATATTTATAGTGAATGAGATATCATAACCAGTAACTAAAGTAAAATTCATAACTATGGAATAAAGATGATAATGTCACGTTGATTAAGGGATAAGATCGGTGGGGAAATGACTTCCATTGCATTAATGTTGATTAGTCTTTTTCAATTAAATTTGATTAGTTTTTAATCACTAAAAAATTATCACATTCCCGCGCGTTGAACTTAGGTTTTAAATCAATCAAGTAGTGATTTTAGGGATTATTTTGTAGAGGGATTTTTTTTTTATTCGAATTGGCTGGGGTAAAAAAACCCGGTGAATTAATGTTGAAAACAATAAATGCCTTATCCCTTTAAACTTATAATTTAAATCAATCAATTAATACTAATTGGGGATTATTTTTGGGAGGAAATAATTCTGGTGCATTAATATTCATTAATCCCGTCCATTAAAGTTAATTAATTTTTATTTTCCCATTTTAAACTATAATTTTAAATGCCATTTGATAAAACTTTATTTACATAAAATTTGAAGGACTATTAGTATAATTGTTGTAAATATTTTTTGACTCAACCAATAGAAAAATGACACATATGATTTTATCCTATGTGGCACCTTTAGAATTCTTTTTTGTTTTCTCTCTCTAGTTTCTCTCTTAGTATAATACTATAGATATATATTTTTATCAAATATATTTGTCCATCCCTTTAAACCATACTTTTGGTTACCATTATGTAACTCCCTCCAAACTGTGGACATCTATTCTATACGAACAGTTAAATCATTTCATAAGGTTGGGAGTGTTAGATAGGCGATTGTTGTAACTGGAAGGTTAAATTAATTAGTGTCTTTAATTTCATTGAAGAAATCCATTTTCCTTTTTAATGAAAGTGAGGCATCATTTGATTCATTTCTGTATCTTGGCAGTTTTCCAAAATCCTGTAAAATTTGTGTAAAGTATTCAACAACATATGCATGAGTATTAGTTAATTATAATTAACATTTCAATATTTATTAATGTATAATTTGGTGTTCTCGTGTTACCAAATTTCAAACAGAATTGTGTTGGTACCTCTAACAAGGACGAAGTCCCCTGGAAATGTACCACAACGACATTCCATTTTGTATTACTCCCAGAGAACTACAAAAGGTGGCCTTCTTATTATAGAAGCTAATGGAGTTTCGGATACATATCAAGGGTACATAACCCTATTTTACACATATAGTTCAAATTTTTGCATGTTTATTAATATCTAAGTAATATCATTCTTTATTGTGTTTGGTCATTTTGATGAGAATTTACAATTTAGTATATTAATTATTAGGTCGTATAGATTTCCTAGAACTCCTGGAATTTGGACAAAAGAACAAGTTGAAGCATGGAAGCCAATTGTGAAAGCAGTTCATGACAAAGGTGGTATCTTCTTTTGCCAAATGTGGCATGTTGGAAGAGTTTCAAACAATGGTATATGTTTACAATTTTTCAGGTCCCCTTCTTGTATTAGTCAAAGTTACGGATATTCAATATAATTACTTTCCGTATATGCCTTCACGATAAAGATCAAACTTGTTTGTTTTTGATGTATAACTCTTATCTAATATGTTCATGGTATCCGTGTCTTGTGTAGTTTTTCAACCTAATGGACCAGCTCAGGTATCATCTACAGATAAACCAGTACTTCCTCTATTTTTTATTATATGTCGTTTTAGGGTTTAGTGAATTTTTTTTAAATATATGTCCTTTTAACAAATCAATACATATTTGACAACTTCTTTCCAATATCGCCCCTGCTTTGGAAACGAAACTGTATTGATAAATAATTTTTATTGGTTTGTGATAAATTCTATAGACTATAAATAAGGGTGTTTTTTTTTTATTTTTACTACATTAATTAATGTTTTCTTGGTTTTGATGAATTCTTTAGAAAGACATATAATAAAAAATGGAGAGAGTATTTGCTAATAATTTTTCAAAATTTTCACCATCGGCCCGACTAAAGACTGAAGAAATTCCTCAAATTGTTAATGACTTCAAACCATCTGCTATTAATGCAATTGAAGCAGGTAAGCTTGAATATATTTTGTTTAATTGTACTTCCACTTCAAGCCTGGCATGAAGATGTATAAGACTCGTGTATTACATTGTATTGACAAACATATATATAGTGTTTAGGGTTACAATGATATTACAACAATACCCCTAATCTAACCCTAATGATACATACACTAACATCCCCCCTCAATCTGAACGTGAGGTAGGCGAACATTCAGATTGTCCCGAAAATCATCAAATAAGACTTGGGCAAGCCTTTAGTCAAGATATCAGCAAACTGATGAGAGGAGGGAGTATGTAAAACACGAATAGAGCCCTGCGTAACCTTCTCACAAACAAAGTGAATATCAATCTCAACGTGTTTTGTACGAAAATTCTGAACAGCGTTAGCAGACATGAAAATGGTACTAACATTATCACAAAATACGATAGTGGCAGTAGGCAAGCTTATAGACAACTCAGAAAGTAAAGAATGCAACTAGCATATCTCGGCAACCGCTTTAGCAACAGTGCGATATTCAGCCTCTGCACTAGAGCGAAAAACAATGGGTTGGCGTTTGGAAGACCAAGAGACAAGATTGGAACCCAAGAAGACATAGTACCCTAAAGTAGAACGGCGGGTGTCTAGGCAACCAGCCCAATCAGCATCAGAGTAAGCAACAAGTTGATCAAGGGAAGTAGGCTTGAGAGAGAGACCATAATGAAGAGTACCCTTCAAACAGCGAAGAATACGTTTGACTGTCTGATAATGAGATTCACGCGGGGCATGCATAAAAAGACAAACTTTCTGAACAACATAAGCAATATCCGGACGTGTGAAAGTGACATACTGAAGAGCACCAACAATGCTACGATATTCGTAAGGATCTGAGAATAAAGCACCATCATGTTGAGACAACTTGCCCTTGCTCTCAATTGGAGTGTGAGCCAAGTTAGCCGAGGAAAGCTTACAGCGGACCAATAGACTGGCAATATATCTGGACTGAATCAAAAAGAGACCGTAAGAAGTACGAGTAACGGAGATGCTGAGAAAATAGTGGAGATCACCCAAATCAGTCATAGCAAATTTCTTCCGCAATTTAGCAATGATGGAGGCCAGTAAAGAATCAGAGGAGGCAGTAAGTAGGATATCATCAACATAGAGCAAGAGAACAGCCATATCCGCACCATTGCGATAAACAAACATAGAAGAATCTGATTTGCTAGAACAAAAACAATGTGAGGAAATAAAAGAGGCAAACCAATGAAACCAAGAACGGGGTGCCTGTTTCAAACCATAAAGAGCACGATGTAACATACACACATAATCCGGATACTAATGATGAACAAAGGCAGGTGGTTGCTTCATGTAGACAGGCTCTTGCAACGGTATGAATAGTAGCAGGGCGAACCACCGGACTGTATGTATCACCAACATCAATACCAGGATGCTGAGAGAATCCCTGAGCAACAAGTCTGGCTTTGTAGCGATCTAAAGATCCATTAGACTTTTTTTTATCCGAAACACCCACTTCGAACCAACCACATTAACATCTAGGGGTTTTGGAACAAGAGTCCAAGTATTGTTGCGTGACAAAGCAGCAATTTCATCGTTCATAGCCTGCTGCCATTCCTCAGACTTACATGCCTCACGATAGGTAGTAGTAACCTACAAAGGAGAGTCAACAACAGTACTAGCTAAATTGAAAATCACCTTGGGTTTACGAGTGCCATCCTGGGCACGAGTGACCATAGGATGATGAGGAGGAATGGAAGGAATGCTTATAGGAGTGATAAACTAGGAGAAACAGTTACAGAGGACGAGTCAGAAGCTGATGAAAGAGATGATAATTTCGAAGGATTGGAAGATGAAGTACGAACATTAGATGAAGAGGATATTCGTGTTGAGGGAAGAAAAACATTAGCATGAGAAAGAGCAGAAGAAATCAATGACAAAGGTTATCGAAAAAGATTAGGGGAGGAAGGACTAGAAGAAGGAATAGAAGCAAACGGAAAAGTATTCTCGTCGAATACTACATGGCGGGAAATAATGATCTTATTAGTAGTGAGGTCAAGGGAATGGTAGCCTTTATGATGCGAAGGGTAACCAAGAAAAACGCAAAGAGTGGAACGTGGTGATAACTTATGACAAACAGTGTGAGAAAGATTGGGGTAGCATGCACAACCAAAGGCGCGTAGATGATCATAAAAGGGGGCTTGTGATGAAGAGCCTCGTAAGGTGTCTTGTTATGGAGAAGAGGAGTGGGAAGACGATTTAAAAGATATGTAACAGTAGTGAGAGCTTCAACCCAAAAAGAAGGAGGCATAGAAGCTTGGAACAAAAGAGTACGAATCATGTTGACAATAGTACGGTTAAGACGTTCTGCCTTACCATTTTGTTGAGAGCAAGCAGTAGTGGATAGGCGAAGGTGAATGCCATGGGTGCGAAAAAATTCCCTAAAAGAAGAGAAGACATCAGCTTTAGAGCAAAGAGGAAGAGGAAATACCCAACAGGAAATATTCCCCACCCTGATCACATTGAAAAGTACGAGTAATAGCATTAAATTGGGTTTGAACGTAAGCAAAGAAAGCACAAAAGCAAGAGAAGATATCAACTTTAGAGCGAAGAGGAAATACCCAACAATAATGTGTATAATCATCCAAAAAGGTAACAAAATATTTATAGCCACTAGGAGAAATAACTGGAGAAAACCATACATCAGAATGAATAAGTGCAGAAGGCGAAGTAGCCTGTGACAAAGACGACTCAAAGGGTAAACGCACATGTTTCCCTAATTGACAAGCATGACAAAAATCTAAAGTAGTTCGAGAACAAGAGATAGCAGAAGCATTTATTAAGTTGGCCAAAACACGATGACCAGGATGACCTAAACGACGATGCCAAGTGAACGAAGAGGAACGAGTAGTAACGAGAGCTGGAACCGAAGCTGAGGAGGTACCAGGAGTGAGAGGGTAGAGAGGTCCAGGACTATTGCACCTAAGAAGTCTTGTCTTCGTGGGGAGATCTTTAACAGACAAACCAAAAGGATCAAATTCAAGAGAACAGTTATTATCAGTAGTAAACTTACGAACATAGATTAGATTTTGAGTAAGAGTGGGAACATAAAGTGCATTACAAAGAAACAAAGGACGACTAGAACTAGAGATAGTTGAAGAACCAAGGGATTTAATCGGTAGCAAAGCACAATTGCCAACACACACTTTATCAGGACCATTACAAGAAGATAAACCAGTAAGCTTACCAGAGTTGTTGGTCATAGTAGCACCCGCAGCTGAATCAAAATACCACGGGTTAGGGCTTGGAGTGAAGGCCGGATAGGCATTAAAAGCTGGGGTAGTCAAAGGTGATCCCATAGAAACGGAGGGACACATACGGGCAACATGACCATAGCCTCGACAATTATAGCACTGAACCGAGTGCTGATATGGAGAAGATCCAGGCACCTGAGGAATTGGAGAAGGTGGCGCACCCAAAATAGAGGAGGGTAGAGCAGACGGGCGAAAGTATTGCGGTTGCCAATTGCCTCGCGATTGCCAATTACCTCGGCCACCACCCCTGCGACCGCCTCCACGTTGGCCTCCATCGCCACGTCGACCACCAGTAGCAGTATTCTGGAAAGCAGCAGCTGCATAAGCAGCATGAGAAGCAGCCTGATTTGGCTGGACCAGCGAAGAAACAGCTGCAGTCGAAGAAGATGAAGCTAGCTGCGCAACAAGGACAGAAGTGGAGGAGGAGGCGGCGACAGATTTCTGCTGCTGTTTCAACAGTTTAGCTTCTTCAAACAGAAGCCGAGACCGACACGCATCAAAGGTCGGCAATGGTTTTTGGGTAGAAATCTGAGAGGTTGCAGCGTTATATTCAGGACCCAAATCCATTACAACTTGCATAACAACGTCCCGAAACGTAATAGAATCACCAATAGACACTAAGCAATCATAAAGTTCTTTCAAACGATCCAAGAAGGCAGCCATGGAGAGATCACCTTTCTCTAAATGGTGGAACTCCTGGCGTAGGTGAACAATCCAAGACTCGACATGATCTCGGAAGATCTTCTCAATTTTCTGCCCAGCATCGAATGCAGTGAGCGACATCCCCGGAGTGATAATACTGCGTAAAATTTCACGAGAAAGAGTAGCTTGTATCCAGGAGAGAACAAGAGAATCAATCTGATTCCAAAGAGCATATTCCAGATCAGTTGCGGGGGGAGAATGAGTCGAACCGTCGACATAGCCATAAACCTGATGACCTTGAGAACTGGAATGAAGAGCTCACACAAGATCAAGTAGTTGGTGTAGTCCAAGACTTCATAAACGTGATTCATTATGTTGTTTAAAGAGAAATCACGGTGACGAGAAGGAGCAGGAATAGAATCAACACCAGCAGCAGAGACACGGGAAGATGATGGGGCCTTTGGATTGTTGATCACTTCATCTTCAGGATTCGCTATAGCAGCGACGGTGAAAACTATAACCAGCAGTAGCGAAGAAACAACAAGGCAGCAGCGGTGTAAGAGTGGACGACAATATTAACGGCAAGAAACAACGGCGGCCCCAAGAGATGCAACATCGGCCGACAGAGAAAACAGAAAGCAACGCAGCAGGCGTGAGCAACAAAGCAGCAGAAAGCAACAGTAACCAGCGAAGATGTAGCAGCAATAAGCAAACAACGTTGAGCAGCCAACAAAGGAGATCGGCTAAGGCAACCGGTTGTAGAAGAGAAACGAAGAGGAAGACACGCAGCAGCAGCAGTGATAAAGAAAGAAGACAAAAAACCGGCAGCAAGAAGCAACAGAGCAGCGGCAGCAGCGGGCAGCAGCAAAAAGATGGCAGGGGAGTAAACAACAACAACGCAGCAACTGAACGCAGGTCGGTCAGCGGGGGAAAGGTCCAATGGCAAAAGGAGGAAGAGGAGCGTCGGCCTAGAAGAAAGGCTCACAGCCGAAGAAGAAGAAGAAGAAGAAGAAGAAGAAGAAGAAGAAGGCGGGGAAAAGGAAGAGATGCGGTCGGGCAGAAAATTCGAAGGAGAAGCAACCAAATCTCCTGAAGCCAATCGAACAAGGTGGACGCAACGACAAACGTGATCAAAATAGACAAAATCAGAGGGAGAATACGTGATTAAGAGATCGGAGGGCTGGCCGGAAGAAGAAACGGAAGCCGACAACGAAGAAAGGAAAACCCTACAAAATTGACGGCCCATGATAATAGGCTGATACCAGGAAGATGTATAAGACTCGTGTATTACATTGTATTGACAAACATATTTATAGTGTTTAGGGTTACAATGGTATTACAACAATACCCTTAATCTAACCCTAATTATACATACACTAACATGGCATTCAATGTCGGTAATTCCATAAGTAGAACAATCATACCTTAATTTTGTAGGTTTTGATGGAATCGAGATTCATGGTGCTCATGGTTATCAAATTGACCAGTTTTTGAAAGATCATGTGAATGATCGTACAGATGAGTACGGAGGGTCTTCGGAGAACCGTTGTAGATTTGCTCTCGAAGTAGTTGATGTAGTTTGTAAATCAATTCGAGCTGATAGAGTTGGAATAAGGCTCTCCCCTTTTGCTGATTACTGTAATTCAGGAGATTCGAATCCGTTGGCTTTAGGTCTCTATATGGTGGAAGCATTAAATAAGTACGGAATCGCTTATTGTCACATGATTGAGCCGAGGATAAAACTTCTTGGTTAAAAGTTTCAATGTGATGATAGCCTTTGCCAATGAGGAAAGCATTCAAAGGTACTTTATTGCTGCTGGAGGGTATGATATGGATGAAGGTAATGTTGTTGTGGCTGAAAATCGGGTTCATCTTGTTGCATGTGGGCGTTTGTTCTTGGCGAATCCTGATTTGCCTAAGAGGTTCGACTTGAATGCTCGTCTCAATAAGTATCACAGGGAAACTTTCTACACATTGGATCATGTTGTTGGTTACACCGATTATCCATTAATCCTGGAAACCATTTCCTAATTTAAGGCGTCAAGAACATATCAAAAAAGGCTTGAAGGCATAGTTTGGAAGATCGCGACCTAGGATCGTAGAGACCCTACGATCTGGGTCACTAAATTGATCCTGGGTCGATTAAGGTCGATCTTTGCAGCAAATCGGAATGGAATCGATAAGATCGTTCAGAATCTGCAAGATCGTTCGATCCCATCTGTTCCATCGATCCTAGAGCAATTTCTCAAATTCAAAGTAAAAGTAAAAAAAGAATGACAATACAGATTGTGAACTCGAAGGAATTGAACTCTAAGGAAAGATCGTGGCCTACAAGAAGCTAATGAGAATCTTAGAGAGATAGATTGGTTATGGTGATTCACCGTATTTTTTCATCCCTTACTCTTGTTTGTAATTGCACAAATAAATTCACTTTCTTTGGTTTTTCTTGGAGGATATGTTGCTTAAAAAATAGAGAGAAACAAAGGGAAGAGAGATTGTTTGCAAAGCTTGTTTCCATGGCTCTGTTCTTGTGGATTGCTGCTCTGTTTAGATAATTTAGTGGGAGAAGAAAGTGAAAACTTTCACTGCGAGCACCGATTTTTTTAGTAATAAATTTTTATTTTTTATTTTTTTGTGTGTGGTCATAATTCTTAAATCATCTTGGGTTAGGATTCTTTATTTAAATGATGAAGAATTTGTGTTTAACATGCCTTATATTACTTATTAGTCATTCAACTTACACATTTATAATTTATAATAATGCATAGACATTAAATTCTTATGTGAAAATAACTAAAACCTAATTATTAAAGTAATATAGTCGTAATTTGAGTACATTTGGGTAGTTATTTCATATATAGTTGGGTTGAAATGTCTAAAAAAAAGATAATTTTGCAATTTATTGTACATAACATATATAATTGATTTTGAAAAAATCTACAATTCTACTATTCCGATCCTACCGATCCAGTATACGATCCGATCCTGTGACCCCATTTCGATCCTACGCCGGATCACGATCCCGCAAACATTGCTAGCAGGAGTATAGTTAAAGAAAGACAAAAATCTTTTGATGAGTTTCTTGTTGACAGAATTCTCATCATTTAATTTCAATCACTGCGTAATTTACTTGAATCAGCAGTGATTCGGTCGTTCTTTCTGCTTCCCAGAACACTCTACTTCTCTGCCCCTTAACGTTCTTCAATTTTAGAAACAAACCTTTTTCTATGTATTTTTTTTTTCTTTGTATCAGAGTGCATGGTGCTAAATAGGCTTTGTATCACAAAACATGCATAACTGGCTGGCCTTGAATCCTTACTGTTCGGGTAGTAGTTTTGGACAGTGAGTGTATTGTTTATTACCAAAACCAAAAAAAAAAAAAAAAACTCTTTGTTTACAGCAAATTGATGAGGTTCTGGATTTGTGAAAGACGTATGAAGGTTGTAAACATAATACATTGGGGTTGTACATACATAATTTTTTAAACGTCGTATAAAGTAGGAGATGGCTCACACTATTTTGTTTCAAGGACGAAAAAAAGAATAATTATGATAACCGGATAGCATTTTCATTCAGGATTTTGGTTAGAAAAAAATAATAATAATAAGTGAGAAAAGTGAATCAAAAAATTTGTTCCAACCGAAGCCATGTTCGGCACGCATATTTCCAACAAAAAATAGTACACAACCGCTAGCCCACTGGACAAGCTACCATATAAAAGATAGTGCTACTTACTATGTAGTCCATGGTTTAGGCCCAAGAAGGAAGAGGCATTGACAAAACATTTCGTCAATGTTTATTTTGCCTAATACGTACACGAGATGACGAGGTTAAAGAAAGGAGCGCTGTCCAAATAGAATAGAGCATGTTTTTCTCTGAGTTTGGGTGCAAAGTGCAAAGTCTGTTTGATAACTTGAATTATTAATTAAAATGATTGGTTTAAGTGATTTTTAGAATAAAGATGTTTGATAATCAAAAAGTGATTCATTTATTTGATTAATCACTGCTGAAACTCTAGTATAAATTTTTAGTAAAATCTAGCTTAATACTTCTTGCTAATTACTTTCATCTTTTTTTTTTCATTCTTAATTATTGAATCCCAACATTACCCATACATATTTTATTATTCAATGCACTAACTAATTATTATTTAAATATTTGATTGGTTTAATTTGATTAAAAGTCTCGTTTTTCACCCGTAAAAATCTTAATTTATTTCATGCATATGTGTTTGGTTTTTTCTCTTTTAATTTATTCTCAAAGATACAAAAGTTTAATACTTTATAATTTGGCTCATTCATTTTATTAAGAAAAATTCCATGCGCATTTTAGTTTGCCATTTTACAATAGAGAGAATGGGCCTTTTCATCCCAAGATTTGAGCCACACCATTTAAAACATCCCAAAATTTAAAAGCATGTCATTTTCATCCCAAAATTTTCAAAAATATGTAATATTAGGACATTTGTTAATTTTTTCAAGTTATTAACGGCGATATTTCATTTAGTTTCTTTTTCCTCATTTTTTTTAGTCAAAAAAATTTCATGCTTGCGTTTGGTAAATTTGGTCCATGCCAAGCAAAGAAGTTGCATGCCCCTACATCAATTACAACACCAATTTTTATAATGATGCTACATATTTAAAAAAATAAAATGAAATAGGACTTACTTTCTAATTAGGACACACACAAAACCTCTCATGATTGTTATCGATCTAGAAAGTGAATCTTAGATTTTTTTTTTTCTAAGGAAAGGAAGAATGGATGATGTGAAGACCAAATTAGGTTTAGCTATTTTCTTATAAGGTGAGAGTTAGTGAAACGTGTTAAATGATTAAAAGAATTAGGGGAGGAGAAACAAAATAAAGTACCACTACTAATTAATTAACTGGAGTTAAAAATTTAACGAATATCCTAATATAACATGTTTTTAAAAAGTTTGAAATGTAAATAGCATGTTCTTAAACTTTGGGATGTTTTGGATGGTGTGACCCAAACTTTGGGATGAAAAGACCCATTCTCCCTTTTACAATATGTAATAATTTTATAGTATGTGTTTTATGAATAATGAACATAATTACTGTATAGTTAGGAAAAAAATATTTTACAATAAAGAAATTTTTAAAAATTATAAAATGATAAATTGGTAAAACTCACAATTTAGCATTCATATCGGTATTTTTATCAAACAAGAATACTTCATTAAGCATTTTGTTTCAGACATTAAAATTTAAAAGTTAAGAATTCAGAATTAACCATTCAACATTTCTATTTCAGCATTAAGTATGTAAAATTAAGCACTAATTTTTATCAAACAAGCCTAAATAATGTGAAACAAAAGCTATAAACAAAATCATTAGGGTCACTAATTTATTGCAAGTAATATATATGGTGCCAAGGTTAGCTAATTTGATTACAAAGTGACTGAAGGATCAATATGTTATTAGTTTCTAATTAAACATTCTTTCTTCGTAAATATTCCCTCACCTTTTCTTAGTCAATTCCCTATGTACATAAAACTCACAACTTAAATAAAACCACTTGTACACACACCATGGACAATGAAGCCACTTATACATAAACCTTAATCAACTAAGCATATGTAGAGAAAATTATAATTGCGGCTAATGAAGTTTAGCAAAATTCTGGACTTGCATTGTTACACATATTCAATTTAGTTATTACCAGAGGAAAAAACAAGTTTCAGTGATTTGAACAAAAGTGCGGTTTTTACGCGGAAGGAAATTAAGGAAAAAGGCAAACATCAAAGTCATCGATCGAATTCTTTTCATAGGTTTTGAAACTTTCTTTTTTCCTTGTGGTGGTTGTTTCAATTATCATTGATTGGGATGCGTAAGTTGACTACCATAATGGTATAGATAGCAGTGGTGCCAGATAAAGCCGGACATTGGAATGAAATCTAAACTAATTTAATGCATTAGTGCATTATTTGTTCTTTAAAATAATTATGGATTTTTTTTTAATTAACCACTATGAATCTTAGATCATCAATCCACTATTTTTAAATACAGCTTTTTATTTATTTAGCTAAATCAATATGGTCAATGTTCTCCCCTAATGACTGTTAAATGTTAATTATTAATCCACTAAACACCTCTACTGCTCCACGCATGTTTTTTATTCGCAATCACATCAATTTGTTAGCCATTACTATTATATTCTTTGGATGCATTCGGTCCCGTAAAACCTTGTTAGTGACTAGTGGGCGTGACTATCAAAAAGTAATATGTCCCTAAAAATAAGAATTAAGTTTGGGGTACTAACTAATATCGTAATAATATTAGTTGGGGGATCGAATGAGTTGAAAAGTATTCGCTTTGCGTAATTTTAATAGTCCACTTCACTTTTGTTTATTTAAAAAAATATATTTTAGTGAAGGCCAACAATAAATATGAAAAAGAACAATTTACATATCTAAATGCATTCCTGGACCTATAAGAAATTGACTTTGTCCCTAATCACCAAGTCAATACTTCATTTCTTTTTTCTTTTTTTCATTTTATTAGATTAAAAACATAAAAATGTTAAAATGAGATGGACTAAGTAATATTTTTCAGAGCATCTTACCTAACCGATTTGAACGATATAGTTTAATTATCTTTTGTTGTTCAAATCTAGCTAGCTGGTAAAAGAGAAAGAATCAAAGGAGACCAGTTCAAACCTATAAATACCCTTTAATATGCTGTCCACTTCATAAATTTTCCCTTAATCACCATTAATTCTTCAATCTTCACTGACGAGAAGACAGTATAGAAAAGAGAAGAAAAAAGAGATGGCAGATGAGATGAATCAAAAGCAAGAGGAGGAACAACCAATTCCTTTGCTAACTCCACATCAAATGGGCAGGTTTCAATTATCTCATAGGTACCCCTTTTTCTTGCCCTTTTATTTCTTATTTCTTTATGTTTATTCAAATGTGTGAATCGGAATGCTTTCTCAATTTCCTTTTTCTTTTTTTTCGTTTTTTCGGAGAATTCTTAAGATGTATATGCTACCATCTTCCTCTTTTTTGGACACTGAGGTTAGAGACATCATTCTTGAAGTATTTCTCTTGTGATACCATATTTGGCCAATCCCATTGCCATCTCTTGTTGTAAACCTTGGTTGCTTGTCTCCAAGTATTAGGTGTTGTATATATGATGCGATAGAATTAGAGGAACTGTTCGATTTTACTTTTAAAAATTACCGAATCTACCCCAGCAATTACGGATGGTACAATTATAAGCTGCTCCCAAAAGTTTTAATCATAGCAACTAACTCTCTCTATCTTGAAAGGATCGAAATGAGCTACAGATTTATTGTTAAACAATTATTATGTAGGTTTGTTATGTCAATTAGAGCCAGTTTCAGAACTAAAAAAAATTATGTATTTAAACGTAATAATTTGAAAGTACAGCGAAACAAGAACTTTCAAATTACGGAGTCGAAAATAGAATCATTCACCCGTCACCAGAGGATCGTACTGAAAAAAATTTCAATTAACGTACACCGTACTAAGAAAAAATTTGGCCAAATCTGGCCTGCCGGGAGTCGATCGACCACCCTGACAATCCGTCACTGAGTACAAGGTTATTGTGGCTAGTAACTGAAAATTTTGTTGGATTAAACGATTTTTTTTTAAGATAAAAGTAATTGCATTACAACTTTCAAATGGTTTTGTACTAGGAGGGACCTACATCCTTATTTTGACTGTAGCGTGATGTCTTGTTTTGACAAATTACTGATTAAATGCATGGACTTTGGAGGCATTCTTAGATGTCTTCAAATCTCGAAGAGGCATTTTAAGTTAGAGTAATGATATTCTTGTTTACAAATATAACTCTACACACATGTTTATTTAGTTGGCATTCCACATCATTTCCTTAATTATTTTCTTTTTTACCAAAAAATTAAACCTATTTTTTTTTTCTTTTCACTCCTTTTTTCTTTTCCCCTTTTCATCAGTGCTACACAGAACCCTCAACAAAAAAAGAAGGAAAATAAAAATTCAGATTCCCCTTCCGGCCTACCCCAATTGAAAAAGAATTTCTTCGCCACAATCTACCTCATAAAATTTTTTCAAATTTTAGGTTAATTTCTGAGGCTTTCTCCTCAGTTGATTGTCATGGGTTTTGCCGAGGCGTTTAACGTCATTGGTCAGTTGGAGTTTTGCAACAAAGAGTTGCGTAAAAATATGAACAGTTTGGCTAACTCTTTGTTCTATTACAGTTGCCGGAGTTAAATTAGTTGATTACTCACATTATCGGAGATAGGAAATTGGACAGAAAGCCCCAAACCATGGCAAGATTTGATTCATGATCAAAACTAATAAAAACATTTCCAAGAGGCACAAGTTTATTAGGCGTCGCTTCAATTAATTTGATTTTTTGGGCTTGATAATTCTCAGAATTTCGCAAGGAAGACATCGTTAAGGAGAACAATTTTCTGCTCGTGATGGTGAAAGGGAAAATAAAAGACAAGAACCGAAGAAAAAAAGGATAAATTTCTTTTAAATATTTTTTTTATAAATAAATAGGAAAAATAATAATTAGGGAGGTGATGTGGAGTGCCAACTAGATAGACATGTAAGTAGAGTTATGAGTATAGTTATATTTGCAGAGAAGAATATCATTAATCTTTAAGTTATACTACTCCGTCCTAAAAAAATAGTCCACATTGAGTTTTCAAATTTGTATTAAAAATAGTATAAAACTCAAAACTCAATCTGCACTATTTTTGTGGGACGGAGAGAGTATTATTTATTTGCAAGTTGCTCATTAATTTTGCCCTCTAAAAATTTAAAAGTTTAAACTCCTTATTTCACCTAAGCAGTTGAGAGATTCTTACTAGTTACTAGTGAACAAGATTGTACATTGATCATTAATTGGCCATGTTCACTTAATATTAATTAGATTAGGTGATTGAATATAATTTTATATCATAGTGCTAATTTTTTTTTATGATGAATTATAGCATTCGTATGAATGTTAATCACTATCTTATTACTTTGTTCTTTCGCTTTAATTTATTTGGTAAATTACATTCAACAGAATAGTTTTAGCACCTTTGACAAGAATGAGATCGTATGAAAATGTACCACAACCACATGATGTTTTGTATTACTCTCAGAGAGCCACGAATGGTGGCCTTCTCATAGCAGAAGCCACAGGAGTTTCAGATACAGCTCAAGGGTTAGTTTTCCACCTTCTGTCATAAAATCAGAGTTATGTATGTATAGATTTCACGAACAATTTACTCAAAAATCTTTTTGTTCATAAAGTGCCCAATTTTTATTTTATTTTATTTTTTTATATTACAAGTAAGACAAGTGTTATTCCTCCAGGTTTCCTCATACGCCTGGAATATGGACAAAGGAACAAGTTGAGGCTTGGAAACCTATTGTACATGCGGTTCATTTGAAAGGTGGTATCTTCTTTTGCCAGATTTGGCATGTTGGAAGAGTTTCTAATTATGGTAAGTGTGCTCGTACGATTCTCTTCCTTGAGACTTCTGAAAACTTGTTTGTTCTTATTCTGAGACAAAAACATTGGAGAGCACTGAAAGAGAGATAAAATTTCTTTTTTGGGACAGAGTACTAAATTAAATAATTAAGAATGACATTTAGAATCAAAGCTCATTAGATGTTGACTTCTTAAGCCAATTTAAAAATCTCTTGTGATTATCTCTCTTTTTTCCTCTTGTGCGTGAGGTCAATCTCTATGCGATTTTGTTTTAAGAAAATCCACCGTCGCTGTCATATTTTGCGAATAAAATTGTCATTTTTAATTGGATATAAAGCATTTTTTTAAAAAGCTTTAGACATAGGCGCTGATATTTTTGTTTCATTTTGATATCATGAAGAATTTCAGCCCAATGGACAAGCTCCAATCTCATCTACAGATAAGCCAATGACACAGAACATCCGAGAAGATGATGTTCCTGTTGAATATCCAGCACCACGCCGGATAAAGGCGGAAGAAGTACCTCAAATTGTTAATGACTTTAAGCAAGCTGCTATAAATGCAATGGAAGCTGGTAAAAGCTTTAAATCTATTCATTTGTTTTCCAAATACTACACATTTGTTGAGTCAATCGAATATGTTTTAATTATTTCTTAATTCTCATGCATATGCATAAAAATGTTCAAATGAGTTAACTTGGAGAGCTAAAGACATGAAAACCTACTTTTGTAGGTTTTGATGGGGTTGAGATTCATGCATCAGATGGTTTCCTGATTGACCAGTTCCTAAAAGACACAATAAACGATCGTACAGACAAGTATGGCGGTTCATTGGAAAATCGTTGCAGATTTGCTCTACAAATAGTTGATGCAGTTTGTAATGCAATTGGAGCTGATAGAGTTGGAATAAGGCTCGCCCCATTTACTGATTACAATGAAGCCGTTGATTCGAATCCCTTGGCCTTAGGTCTCTATATGGTTGAAGCTTTGAATAAGTATAAACTTGCTTATTGCCACATGATTGAACCGAGGTTAGCTAGTGTTTTTGAGAAAAGTAAATGTGCGCATAGCCTTTTACCGTTGAGGAATGCATACGAAGGTACTTTTATTGCTGCTGGTGGTTATGATAGGGAAGAAGGTAACAAAGCTGTGACTCAAAATCGTGCTGACCTTATTTCATATGGGCGTTTCTTCTTGGCGAATCCTGACTTGCCTAAGAGATTTGAGTTGAATGTTCCTCTCAACAAGTACGACCGGTCAACTTTTTATACTTCCGATCCTGTTGTAGGCTACACTGACTATCCATTCCTTGAAATAGCTTCATGATTTCAAGGCGACTAACACCATAAAACAGTACAATACATTCTGTTACAGAATTACTCGTCAGAAGCATTGGTTAGGACTTATGATATTATTGATTTTTTTCTTCCAGATGCAAAACAAATGGTATGCTAAGTTTAGCTTCATTGTATTGTAAGAATGCTCTTTGGTTTTTTCAAGAAATTAGTATTTACTAGTAATTTAACCTTTCCACTAGAGCATAAGAAAAAAGTGAAATTCTGCAGCTCCAAGCAGAAAGGATAGCTATGATGAAGAGGAAAAAGCAGTAAACTAAACAGAACCTTTTGTAGGCAGTCTATAATTTGGATTTATTTCCAAAAGCATATATGTAAAAGAGACCATATATAGGGTTCATAATTTTAGAATTACTATTCTTTATCAGGCATTTGTGCTTTTCCAACATTTTCTGCTTTTGATCAAAATGACGAGTCCATATTCGCCATCAATATTGGACCGGCCCATCTGCCCATTACAAGTCCAACCGACTTTGACTAGGGCGGTTCAGCAATAGGAAACCTAGTAGGATTTGGACATCCTTGAAGGTAATTCCATGCCTATAAATAGAGTTGATCACACCACAATAGAGGTACGCTATCTCTAGTCCCAATTTACGCATACACATTCATTCATAACCCTATTTATGACTTAACCATCGGAGTGTCTCCCCCGAGGCCCTCTTTTGCAGGAAACCCTATCAGAGTTCCACTGTTAAACCAGTAATACAATTCCAGGCTTCAGCAAGTGGCACGCCCAGTGGGACCCAAAAACTAGGGTTTGCGTCACAAGCTTTCTCAAGCTTCCAAAATTTTCTTAACCTTTTGCCGCGGTCAAAAATCAGGACTATTCCCCGAACAAGATGGTTGTAGTTAGGGAATCACAGTCCGGCCCAAGATCATCAGCTAGACGGCGGAGCCCCGATGACAATGAAACATTGTCTAAGTTCGAAGAACAGCATAGGCAGAAAAAGCGCAGCCGCCAGCCAAGGAAAGAAAAAACTCCCACGCGACCATCTAATCTGTCAGATGAAAGGGTGGAGAGGCCAAGCAAACATGACAAGGCACTTGATCCACAGGATGAGGAATGGTTGGCTGAAATCAAAGCCGAACTCAAGAAGTTGCAAGATGATAACATTCTCAACACAAGGATGAAAAAGTATATATTGGAAGAATACCGACGCTGTTGTTTCTCGGTCAACCTGATCCAACAGAGCAAGAGTTAAGAGACATAATTGATGAGAAAGAAACACGTAGGACATTGGCTTTGCTCGAGAAGAAAAATGGCAAACGCAAAGTTCCATATGAGGAAGCTGAGGAAAGGTTACACGGAAAACCCTAATCGGGAGATCTCCCATGAAGAACATTCAACTGCTCGTAGCACAACCTTTTGGGAGTCGTTTGGAAGAACGTATCCTGCATTCGAAATAGCACTCGAGGCGTGTGCTAAAGAATACAAGTGTAAAAAGCAATCTCACCATGCTAACGTGCATTTTCGTGTAGGACCTAAAATTTCCATGGAAAGCTCCCACCATGCTAATGATGACACATATCGAGCATTGCCTCGAGGTACGGGTTATCCTTGTGGAGATTGTCACCCAGCTGATCATTACCACCTGCGACAATCCCCCCAACCTCGACAGACGAAGTGGCATTCTCAAGAAGAGCCCTATGTCCCCCGACATCAGGGAGAATATCGCAACCAAAACCCGTCAATTCGATAATCAATGAGATGAATGATAGCGATGATTGTCGACAAAAGTCCATTCATACAAGATTCACGATTGCCCAAAACCTCAGGACTTCAATTTTCCTAAGAATTTCGTGAAATACTCGGGAGATTCTGACCCATAGCAATTCCTGCATGGATACGTCCAAGTCATGAGGATCCGGAATGCATCACTTAACTTTATGGCTTAAGCCCTTCCTTTTAATCTCACTGGGCAAGCTCAATGGTGGTTGGGACAGTTGTTGGAAGGAAGTATAACAAGTTTTAAGGACCTATCCATCAAGCTAGCTACACGTTTCTTTCCTAGTAAGTAGATTACAAGGATGACTATCGACCTCTCCTCTATCAAATAAGGTCAGAACGAGAGTCTCTCCGATTTTCACCATCGTTTCGTCCAGGAAACTCTACATGTTGATCACCTCGATGATAGAGATGTGAGGAACGGGTTCATTTAGCGCCTCAACCCGTTTGGAAAACCTGCCAACCTACAGGTGAAATTGTCTACCAAGCCCCCTTGCAATACACAGGAGATGTGGGCCGCTGTTGAAAGTTACATCCAGTGAGAACAAACACTTAAGCACTCACAAGAATCCTTCTCGATAGCAGAAGATCGAGGCGGGAGAGATAAGCCCAAAACTACAACAGAAGTTAAGTCGGCGTTGCGTAAGCTCGACAAGCAATTGACTCCACTACTGAAGCCCCGGCTGGAAATCCTCCAAATTCACAAAGATGAGCTTCCTACTCAAAAGCCTCTAGCTCCTAATCCCAATAGGTCTATGGATCAATACTGTGAGTATCATAAGGATCATGGCCATGACACTGAAGATTGTTGGGAGTTGAAGCGTGAGATCGAAGCTGAAGTCAAGTCAGGAAAATTCCAAGGGTATGTATAAGGTACTACTCGATCGAAAGGCAGAAAGTTCGCGAGATCCCGTAACTTCCAAGCGGAGCCCTCGGGACCCACGAGGAGATAATGGGGGGAACAATTGGTGGCTAAGGAATAATGTGCAGCAATCTGCTCAGCAACCAATCGTTGGGGGACCACAACCACTCCAGCAAGTTCCTCCACCAGATCCCACTAAGCAGATCACTCACAATGTGCGGATCACTCACAATGTGGAAGCAATCAATGGTGTGCCATGAAGGCGTCGACTCGAAAAGTAACTAAAACTCCTCCCCAGGAACACAGCCATAAACGATTCAAAGGAACCGATGCAATATTCTTCACAGACAGTGACGTAGTCCCTGGCATCTTTCCACACAGTGATGCCATGGTCATTGAAACCATTATAGGAAACGTCCACGTAAACCGCGTGTGCGTCGATAATGGAAGTGCAGTCGACATCATCTACAACAATTTCTTCAAGAAGATGAACATAAAAAATCCATATTGGCGTTCAACAACATTGCCACTAATGGGGTTCTCGGGGCGCACGATTATCCCCAGTGGAATCGTTAGCGTTCCTATCACGGTAGGGTCGCATCCTTGAATGGTAACCTTAACTATGGACTTCGCTATAATAGATGCACCCTCGCTGTTCTACGCAATCCTAGGACGGCCGTGGATGTGCCAAGCCCACGCTGTTTTGTCCCCCTACCATCTAGTAATGAAATTCGCAACATGGTATAGGATAGGGATAGTACAAGGGCGCCAACGCAGTTCCGGAGAATGCCTCCTCATAGTAGTCAAAAGCGTAAAAAAGGCAGTAAAGTCTGGAATTATCACCACCGCATCCGGGTGTTATTCAGTCCAGTGGCTTAAATTCAAAAGAAGTTCTATTACAAGAAGATAAACTCATACAGCGGCTTGGACGTGAAAAGTATTTCATGGCTGGTTTTCAGACATCCCCTCGACGGGGGGATCATTCTCCTTTGTCCCGCCAGCATTCTCCTTGGCAGTGGGATCTTGGTCCTTAGCTCCAGAATTGGCCATCTCGTTCTGTTTCGAGGCATCATCCTTGTCATCCTCCTCGAGATCAATGCCGTACACTCATCAGAGACATTAGTGGCCTCCAGTTCCTCACTAGGTCCCCTTGATAGGACGGCGGCAATATCCCTGGAAACAAGGAAATATCCTCAGGGGCACCCATCTTAGCCAGGGCCTTGCACGATGGTTCCAACAATGGAAGCTGCTCGATTCCCATTTTACAAAGGCACTTGACCAAAGGTTCATGTATGACTTTCTTAGGGTTCTCCCTTAGAAATTGTTTGAGCCACTTGGCTTTGATTGGCCTTTTTCACTTGAGTCGTTTTAGGCCTACAACAGCAAGTTCATGGCCACCATACGCAATCGAGGCCGTGTTGACCTCCTCTACAGCTGCAGTCATCCCACCTGTGGATAGTATCTTCCACCAAATTGCGGTGCACCACTTGTTGAGATCTTCCTTGGAAATGTGAAGATTACTGTATTCCGGGAGTTTTTGATTCAGCTCTTCAAGCGGCATTTGAACCACGGCCAGCTCCTTCTCCTTAGATTGCAGCTGCTGATTTTTCTCCTTGAGTGCCAGTTTCTCGATTAAGCCTGGTCCCTCTCGGCACAAGCTTCAGCTAGTTTCAACCTTAAATCCCTTGATCTCTTTGTATAGTTCATCATCATTGTGCTCATCTGCAAAAACCAAACAAAGAGTATGTGCACACTCATACCAAAATATGAACATTTGGGTGTATAGCACGATGTACGTTTACCATTTTCAGGCCGTCAGCCTCAATTAGAGTAGCAACAAACTCTCCAGTAAGAGACATTTAATTATTAGCGGATAGCCAAAGGTATAAATTGCAGCAGAAGGGCCTCCTACAAATAGTTCGATGGGCAGAATGGTTACATCTCCCTCGACGGGACCCTTGCCTTTTTCCATGGGTGGAGGTTGAGTGCTTGGCCCAGTTTCCTTCACCAGGTGTGTCTCCTTCTCGATGTGTGGCGGCACTATAGGTTCCTTGAGAATGGTCTTCTCTCCCTCCTTTGCTGGTTCTATTTTCTTCGGGACGGAAACATCAGTCTTGGATTTCTTGGTGTTGGGATCCTTCTCGGAATCCTTTGCGTTCCTCTTCTTCTTTTTCTTCACTTTCTCCATCATTTTTTTGTCATGGACGTGTCTTCATCTGAGTTCACAACATTAAAGAAGTTAGAATCACTATATAGCCTAGGACCGTCATTTCCCGACAACATGACCTAAAAACAAAGAGATAATAAAGAGATTAGTACCTTTCTACTCCTCGACAGGGTTATCAAGGGTGTCATTAACTTCCTTCTCTTCGATGGGAACAACGGGAATGAAATGCTGCATAGCATTCCACTTAACCACTTTAGAGTACTTCTCAAATTTCTTTAAGTCCTGGGAAAACTCCTTAAGACTTTCTTTATCTTCGCCTATCCAGTCATCCTTTAGTGCCTCAAATCCATGGGTTTCTCAATGATTCCAGGCAACACAATACTTTTCAGACGCCTTTACGTATAGAAAGTTTGGTTTCCATATAGGAGAACCACCGTACGCCTCTACTATCTTCTCGGTGCCTGAGTCAGGGTTCCTCTTCACAATATACCAATCTTGGAAAAATGTTGAAGCCATGGATACTTAAAAGAAATATCTCCATAGCAATAGACACGGTTTCACTTCCACCCGTTGACATATTTTCACAAAACCGAGAACGTATGTTATCAA